ACTATGTCAGTGTTCATCAATTATTTACTGTTACTAATGACAAAAAATTCTTAGTAATGACCGAGATGTACCCATCCTGATACATGTACATTTACATGGATCGTAAACGCTATCAGTCTCTATATTTAGGTAAGGTGAGCTTTGCTCTGATTCATCCTATTACATACTCAGTTATGGAAAGGACCTCATTAGCATAGAACAACCAAGACTCATCAAGTGATTCAGCTAACCAAAATATCACAGATTATACCATCTCACATTATTAGATGAAAAGGAAAGATGAAATTTTACTCCCTGACAATAAAACGTAGGGAGAGGGTAATGCTACTGATGAATAGACAAGACCTTTAACTTTGTCACAAAAACACTTCTAGGACAGGCACGAAACACCTGCAGGTTTCCACAGGAATGATCAATGCTCATTTTTCAGGAACTTAATTGGAAAAGGAGGAATTGCACCTTTGCTTCAACATTGTACCTGTTCTCAGTTCTAACTGGAAAAATTAAAAAGAGCTGGCATCTGCAACAAGAACTCCACAGAAGAGCAGCAGTCTTCCATTAGTTAAACTGCCTGCTTAAGGGACAGTGATGAAAGATGATAAATAGAGAGTAGAAGCATTCATTTGATTCTCCAAGAATAATAAGAACTGTATAACACAATGCAAAATTTGTTGTTGTTGTTTAGATATATCAAAATGGGTTGTGTCAGAAGAGCTGTGACATGAACAACCAACATATTAGACGTTTTCAGTTGTTATTATGAGTATAGAAGGTACCAGATTACCCTGTTCACGTTTGCTCAAGCACAGGCTTAAGATGTTAAACTACATTTACTTTTAACAAATCCAGAAACTCAGTATTACTCCAGGCTGTAGTTACATTCTTCAACTAAGGTCACCAATCTTGTCTTTAACCAAAAATACCAAGGACGCTTTCCGTAGCTTTGGATTTTATGAAAGATAAAAGGGAGAATACAGTCAGCTTTCAAAAATGCAAAAAGTAGATACATAGAGCTTTCACTAAAAATACAAAAATCATCATACTGAGGCCTTTTATACATTCAGCCTTCAAGCAGCAGAAATGTTAGTCAATTCAAAACCGAAAAGGTCAGTTGTTAGTGTCAAACTGAACAGCCACAAAGCAAGCCTACATATATCAAGCTGATAATCAAAGCAAGTATGCCAAGTAACTGACAAGTGTAAACTTTTGTTTCATTGAAACACTGTCAATTAATAACCAGGTCAATAGCATTGTTATAAAAGTTTACAACTGATTCACATGAGGAACCTTGATTTTTCTTGTCTTAAAGAAATTTAGCAACCATTTGTGAAGTCTGAAAAAGATAAAGAGCCTTTTAGTGGAAAGAACATGTTCAAATGGAAGTTTTAACTCAAAAAGAGAAGAGAACTTTCAAGTAGAAGTTTCCATGTCTACACAAGATACACCAAATGAAACAGCAAGGTGTTACCCATTTTCAGGAACTTCTGGGTTACATTCTCAGTAAAGCCAAATTAATATATTTAGCTTAAGTATTGCAATTGCAACATTTAGTGTAAATTCTCAATTTTAGCAATTCTTATCTTCTATATAAGAGGATAACAAAATACCAAATGGAGGTACAGCACAAATACAAGAAAGTGTAACTAGTAGAAAAGTACTTGTTTAATACCTGATTAGTAGTCCCAGAAAAATAAAAGCTGTTACTGCACGGTTAACAACTCAGCCGGTTTTCTGCACTGATTGGGTTATCTAATAAGGAGTTTTCACTGATGGACTTGAGCATTGCTGTGAACAGCAAGTATGAAAGGGTTCATGTTTATAAGAAAGATCTAAGCGGTTAATCAGTTATGACCTTTATTCCCTGCATATCAATTGTCTCCATTGTCATTAATATTGGTATCTACATTTTTCTTAAAGGGGCTTCTTACCAGCAACTGTTCACAGAGGATTAAAATTTCTGAAGTCTATTCCCAAAAAGAGCTACTATCTGTTCACCTTCAGTATGATCTGCAAACGCATATTTATAGAGCTAGAGAGGCCGTTATAATTTTATTTAATTTTTAAATAGGAGGAAAGGGGTGAAATGCCCATTTGGGTACCCATTGGGGTAAAGTGAGAAGCACACAGGACTAATCTAATTTACCTATTGCTTCAAATAAAGTAAGGGACTGCTTTGAAGGCAGTTTTCACATGTTTTCTTAACTCTAAAGAAAATGGAATTATAGGCAGCTTTTCTCCTGGTACTAAATCTATAAACTTTTGGAAGAATCACACTCAAAACAAAATGTTAATTTCAGAACTCTGAATACCTATAAGCTACTGAAGAATACTCAGAGAAGTACAGCTCTACATAGTATTAAAATTTAGACATTTCATATTAGTGCAGCGATGGATATGGAAGTTCTCAAAACCTTTTGCATTTTAATAGGGAAAGTAGCATTTCTTTCTTCTGAATCAAAATTAATTGATATCCATACTCATGCCAAAGCAAGAATAAAGCTGCTTAACCAATACAAAGAGAGACTCTGAACTACCATTATTCAACATCAAAACAAATTTCTGTATTTGGACTGGTTTTATCATTCTTTGGTTATATTTATTAATAACATTTTCTTAATATATATTATAAACCTTTTTTACCTTATTGATTATACTAAAACAATAGATAGAAGCATAACAGAAATCAAACTTTTGATATTTTTGTTTCTCAGGCTGACCAAATAGGAACATAAGTACCAAGCAAGTAAACCAAGAAGGACAGAAAAAACATGCAAGTGAAAAAAGCCTTCGATGCAATTAGATGTTATATTGTCTTGAAAGTCTGACATGCCCAAGCTTGCATGCCTGCCTCAAATTCATACTGCACACTATCAAGGATATGAAACTACGAAGCAAAGAAATCGTACTGAATAGGAACTTGTAAACTGAACATCATTCACCTTGAAATCTAAATGAAACAGAAACCCCAGTGGAGAAGAGAAAGATATGAGACCATACATTTAGATTTAATACTGTAGAACTACAACAATTCATGCAAAAATACCTAAGGTAAAGATCTACAAGAAATGTATGTCCAATGTGGAAAATGCAGACTCAAAAGCCTTGGAAAACAGCAAATATGTTGCCTTACAGTCTACACTTTCCTTCTGCAGTCCCTTTCCAGTCACACTACAACTGTAGCTCAAAGCTTTTTCTTTCTCTCCTTGCTAGTCTTTAGGCTGAGCCTTACACAAAGCCCCTCAGCCACAAATTAAAAATTACTCTACTGTTCTCCTTTCCAGTTCCTTTCCAGCCTTGCCAATATAAGGTCTCCTTTTTGATCCCTAATAGCAATCACTATGATTTTCAATATATTAACTACATATGCACACAGAACTAAAAAAAAAAAAAAAAGAGAAAAAAAAAAAAGAAAAGAAAGACAAACCTTTCTGCACTAAGCCAGAATCAACATCATCTGTACAAAGCCAATACCAAGCTGATGCACGTTTAAAAACAATGAACAAAATATGAGAACAAACAAAATATCCTACATTTTACCCCTTGCTGGGGGAGAGCCTGCTTGGCCCTGTAGTTGACTGTCTAAGGTTCCTAAGCAACTCTGACTATCACCATCGGTAATAGAGTGCAATATACATTATAGGCATTTAAAATCTTCAAGGTTGAAGCAAAAGAAGGAACTAGAGAATTCATAAATTCTTTGATTTGGTTTTCATTCAAAACTTTTTAACTCAGTGCAATAAGTCTATTCTGAGATAAACATTTACAAAATTTAATGAACAAAAAAAAAATTCAATTAGAGGATAGTCCTTCCCTCAATTATGATCTCACCTGGCAAATTACACCATGGCTATGAATTCCCACTGACAGACGACTAAGCAGTAATTCAAAGCTGAATTTGGTCTATCACAGTAAGTGACAACCTGCTTCAGCTATGGCAGTAATATTAAAAAATAAAAATAAAAAATCTCACTATCGGATCTCTTGCTCAGGACAGAGAATGTTCAAGGTCAAGTAGGACAGGACTTTGAGCAGTCTGATCTAGTGAAAGATGCCCCCCTCAGGGTAACGGGGTTGGAACTTTTAAAGGTCCCTTTCAAGCCAAACCACTCTATGATTACAATATAGAAGGTGTAAGAAAGAAGGAACAGTTTTTCAAAATATATTCCCATCAGTACTGGCATAATTCAGCTACAAATGATTCTCTTCTACCTTCCGATATTTCTTTATGGTTAGTTTTCCTCTGAGACAGATGAAACAAATGTCAATCTTTACTGTCAGACATGGACTATTTGATACAAAAAGGTGACGTAGAGTAACACAATCATTTCTTTCTAACTTGAGATTCATCTTTTACTGGTTTTGTAATATTCATAAACAATGACAATTACGAACAGTGTTCAGTTCAACTGAATTACATGAAAATCAGTATGAGTTAATATGTACACTTAAACCAATGATTTATAATGATCACCCAAATGCACTATAATACTTTGTGCCTTTCTGCAGTAAACTCTGTATTAACTGAAACAAATTAAAAATAAGGTGAAGGATTTTTTTCCTCAGACTCTCTCTGTTGCAAATTTATAAAAACATCAAGTGGGCATGAGGGACAGATTTCTTGCTGATTTAAACATCAATTATAAAAAGTAGCTGCCTAAAACCTTGCTTTTTTACTATTACTAATCTTTAAGTTTCAGCAAATATTGCCAGAAGTGAGATCATCTTTTCCAAACGAATATACATATAAATTTAACTCCCAAAGGCTGTAAGATTTGGGTGAATATAAATCAACAAAATAACCTGAAACACTCTTGTGTCTCTCAACACTGAATCTTCCCACAACACATTTTTAGAAGATAACATTATAAACAAGATTCTGAAATTTGACCCTTATTTGAAACAGTATTCCTCCTTTTTTATTGTAATGACTTATTCAGTAAGGAAAAATAACTGATTTTAATTTTACTTGTTGCAGAGGTTTGTGAAAAAAATTTGCTTACTTGCAGCTGAACAGAGTTATCCTGAAGGCCTTCTACAATAGGAGAGAATCTATCAACATTTTTTTCTTCTGCTGCAGCTGTTACAGCTTCCAAAATTTTTTCAAGGCTGTAAGAAAAGCATTTCACTCAGGACAGATATTTTACCTTGCTGTTCATTTCTCACCTGAAGATCCATGTTGCCAAAGTATTCACCTGCCTCATTCAATTTCTTGCATAGAATTTTAGGTAGGATTAAGCATTACTTGTTTCCTTTGGAGACTTCCATAGCCACAAAATTACTTACTGGATTACAATGGTTAATGTACCTTTAAAAGTAATGCTAAAAAATTTTAATCAAAAGAATAGCTGCATAACTACTTCCATTTAACCAGCAGATCCACATAGCAGAAACAAAACTCTTATTGATATGACCATAATAAAAATTAGTGACAATGGTAGTCAGAAAACTGACAATATAGTACAAGTATTAGTTTCAAACTGAAGCTGAAAATTTTAGCTTTTCATTCAGGTGTAACCATAATTTTGGATATTGTAAAATTACCTTACTATTTCTGGCTAAATACATTACTTACATGCTTTCCTCTCCAACAATGCACATTGCAGAAAGGAGTTTAACTATATCCGTCATCATGTTAGTTTGCTTGGGATCAATTGCTTTGATCAACAACAGAAGGCTCCTCTCTTCTCCCAGAATTCTTTCCAATCCATACTAAACAACAGAACAGTTGTAAGGAGAGTTGGATGGAATCCAAAAGACTGTATTGAATATCGAGTAAAAGACAGCGACAGTTCCCTCAAGTAAATATTTCAAATTACATTTGAGTCTGTCAAAAACTTAAGCAAAAAAGTTGAAGGGGAGCAAAGTCCCAATTGGGTCTCTTATTCTGTAATAAGGGCAGACATCAGAATCAAAAATTTACATGATTATCCCAGTATACTTCTGGGGAGAGGAAGTGGCAGCAGAAAGAACTTCAAATCGCAGCAGACCAACATACCTTTTCTCCAGACCGAACACAGGCTTATCCCCACTGAACATGTACATTATCTGATTGAACTATAGTAATTTAGATTTCCAGATTAAATAAAATCCCATACCTTATTATTCATGAAGGCTCTCATACACTGTATCACCTTATGTTGACTCCTCTTCACAACTTTGTCCTGGCTGAATAAATAAATTTTTAAAAATAAATAAATAATGTAATTAAATGTTGTTTACTTATTAAGAAACGCCGACAGTTTTATCTGAAATCATCCTTACTTTTTTGTCTCAACCAATCTTTCCAAAACATCCAACAGCAGCCCTAGACCTTCTCGGCCAAAGTTTTCAACCCAGCTAGGAAGAAAGAAAAAAGATATTAGGAAGAATTGGCATTTCAAAAGACTAATTACGATTAATGAGAATTGTCAGAATAACAGCAGTGTAACTGGATCATTTTAAAACTCAAAATGGACTCTCTACTCAACAGAAGATCAAGAGGCATTCCATTCACTCAATGATGCAACTAGATAACCTTGAATTAAAAATATTAAAACTTACAGTAGCCATTATATTTTAATTTTTAAATGGACAATTATACATTCTTTGGCACAGTATTGTAATTAAGAAACTTTTGCAAAGGAAGGGAAGAAAAGCAACAAATTTCTACTACACACTGTTCTAGCATCTCCTGTAAATATCAGAATCTAACCGTAAACGGGAGGAAAAACCTAAAGGAATTGCAGAAGTGGCTGCCTGAAATATTAATCCATAGGAATGTCTCCAAGTGAACACAACAAAAATTTAAAATTTCAGCTATTGCCAAAGCTATTTTTTGGTGAGCTTAGACCTTGGCATGTTGTTTCTACGTGAGACAGCTGCTTCAGATGTATTACAGCCTCTGCATTGTTTTTTGTTTTGTCTTTTTGCATGCCATTGTACACATTGGGTAAAATTTATGTATCACCACTTTTGATTAGCAACCAGAATATTTAGATACTCCTATAATGGTGACACCTTACTAGTGACAAATAATAAGCTATTCTGTTGGAAATAACACAAGGGAGATGCTCTTTTGAAATACACACTACTTCTAATCCCATCATAGGATTGGATTAAACAGTGCTTCATACCTGCTAGATACAGATCTGTAATGGACTCAAAATTACAGGAGAAGAGAACCAAATCAGATGCCTTTATCTGTTTGTCCCCTAAAAGTAAATATATATATGAAAACAGATTTTGTCCTTCTGGGATGGGTGCTTCATTATGAAACAGATTAGGCAAATAACCATCAATTGGTTTTGATGTAACCAGTCGAATCTGACCTAAAGATAACCCTATGAGACATTTTTTAGCACATTTCAGCTGAGAATGCTGAGAATGATCAAGTACCTATATCGGTGGATGCATTTTCCCTTTGAGGCTTTCTTTTTATGCTGATGGAAACTAAACACTATATTTTGCAGTAGGCCACAGATTTCAGTACATTTTTCAAGTATCAGGATCAAATTATTTAGTATCACTTAAATCATATTTTCTGTGAACTACAAATACATTTTATAAAAACGATTAATTGAAAACAATATTGTAGAACCAGTTTTTTGCATTAGAAACTGAAACATCAACAAGAGAAAAAAGTTGATTAAAGTATAGGAATTCAAAAACCAGCAAAAACTCCTAAATTATATATTGTCAAAAAGATTAGAGCCCACAAATGTTAGGACTGTCAGGCTAGATCTAATGTAAATTTAATTATCATCCTGCTACAAAGAGAAAAGAAAAAATACCACAAAACGTAAGTTTATTCTTGGGTATTATATGTGCACAAAATAAAATCCCGGAGTCTCAATTATTTCTCATTGTCCATATGATATGAAGCTGAAGTTAAAAATAATCATGGATTTATAGCAGCTGTACTGGAGTTCAGTATTTGTGTGTCAAAGCAAGTTCTTACTCGAACATCTGGCTGCTGATAGGAAAATCACAGTCACTAATACCTGTATCCAATGAACACCACCTGTTTTTACTCATTAGAAAGAAGGGGGCATGGTTTAAAAATGCTTACTCCACACATTTTTATTATGAAGAATGGTATGCAATCATTAAATTTTTGCTATGTTTGTATACAAGCCCTGCAGAAGAACTCAGGTTTTTACCAAGGCTATTTTAAGATGCTCTGTTTAAGCCTACTGAGGTCTATCTTAACAGTTTTTTTCAGCACCACTCAATACACAAGAAGACTGTTTCAGAACTGTTCTACCACTTGTAATCCTGAGCTATTCTTAGACTATATATCCATTAACTTAATAACAAGTTTCACTCCAATCCAACCATTATAGTTCTTATATGCTATCTCTTACATTCTCCTTAATGTTTCAAATTGAAGTTAAATTATAATAAATTGTGGTCACATTACAACTTAGATTCACCTGTCAAATTTTCTACCTACCACAGTTAATATTTGACTGAACAAGGGTAAAGCCAATGTTGCAATCTAGAACTATTTTACCAATAAGTTAAAGAAAATAAGCTCTCAAAACTATCAGTGCAATACTTTGATATCAACAATGCATCATAACCTAGAATGCTTTGAAGTTTTGACATAAAATACACCAACCTTCTCAAAATGAAAATATTTGTTTTTTCTATTGTTCCATGCATAAAAGCACTTGCTCATTTTCCTGTACTCATAACATGCATCTACAATTTTCGAATCCTCTCCTTATTTAAGTGAAATATTTGCGGAAAACCTACTTAATGTAGTATTTAATAATACTTAGTTGCTGTAAAACTTCTAAGTTTCTGCACTTTTTCTTCCAGATAATACTGATCCCTAGACTTCTGCTATTAATCAAATGCTCTATTACATGATCACAGTCCAATTCAACTTGCACTCTCTATCAAATGTCTCAAGTACAGACCAACACCTTTCTCTCATAGCTGGCCTCCACATTCCTTACTCTGATACCATTTCTCAATCCCTCCTTACCCCTTCATCTCCTATCACATTGTACTGTGCTGTCGGGCAGAACTAGCACCTCAGCAAGATCATGGGGTTTGGCTTTTGGTGGGGAGGAGGGTTAACTTTTCTCTTGGTGTGTGGGAAAGGAGCAGCTAAGAGGAAATCATATATAAAAAAAGAAAAACTACCCAGTCATATCAAGACCAGACAGAAGAAATTGCTCTAAACTTCAACTGTCACTCACTTCATGCATTTTGTGTTTCTATTTCCAGACACATACTAGTAAAAAAAAATTTCTTTGTTAAATCAACATGTATAAATAAAAAAAGTCTCTGGGTTTGTGGGTTGATTTTGCTTTTTAGCATTGTTTGGGGGGGAGAGGTGTTTCATTTGGAGGTTTTTGTTTTGGGGTTTGGTTTTTTTGGGGGAGTGTATTTTGGGGTTTTTTTGGCTTTGTTTTTAAATAAAGAAGTGGAAGCAGTAGAATCACAGAATAGTTAGGGTTGGAAA